CCAAAACATATTTTATTAAAAATAAATTTATAATACCAAAGAGAGGAGCAATAGTTCATAGCTACTCTTCTTGGAAGGATTCTACAAGCATGTAGACCAAGATCCCATTTTATAAGAAGCGAGATCCCTATTCTCTAAACTAAGCTCCCTCTAAGATCCCTTTAAGAAACCATGGGATCAAATTCCTAAAGTGGGACCATGGCCTTACCCTCAAGGTTCCTGCAACTATGATGGCTAATTTGAGTTAGAAACCCCATCTGTGAACCTTTACCTATAGAAATTAGGTTAAATTGTTTCAAACCTTTTTGTGTGGTCTGCGCTTGGCTAATTTGAGTTAGAATAGAAAAAACCCCATGTCGCATGACCGAATTCAAGAGAGATCCAGCTCGTGTGCCAAGTCCATGGCCTCATCCTTATCTCAGACCAAGCAAGGCATTGGGCCACTGCTCCACATGCACCATGCCCCTTAGACCCATGAGATTATGGCTGATCATCCCAGTCTACACGTCAGCACTCACAATTATTGCTACTTAGAAATTGTAAACCACCAGATTAACATGGTGTGGAGCACAAAACCAAGAACAAACCACCAGCCCAATCAGTCTGGTAAAGCCGAGGTACAAACCTCGAGCCAGCTGGCTTGAGTCAGATTAACCCTGATAGCCAACCATCGCCCCAACTACTCAAATACAAGTCCACCCGCTAAGAGTAAAACTCCTAGTAGGGAATCCGCTTCGGACCATCGGCCTTCGGACCAATCGAACCCATATCCATCAAACTATGACTTGCCATAGAGGTCTAGGTCATTTCATCAAACCCATAAACAGCATAGCAGTAGTATGGGCCGCTCTCAAACCTCACTTAGCGAGAGCCCTCTCTTGTGAGCTTATCTCCATAGCTAATCAAGTCAAGGTTGTACTATTAAAACACCAGATGGTCAATTAATACAGCCCAATAACCTCATCAGCAAAGAACAAATATATCCAATCCGGTCAATTCCTCGATCCTAAGCTGAGGGACGACCTAGCCAGCTGGCCTATCGAGTGCAAACAAATCGCACCAACCAATGTGTTAGGCAACCAATCGTCCACCCAAGTCACTGTTGTGCCAACAGCCTGGTTAGCCCAGACGGAGGTAAACATGAAACCCTTCAGGGCACCCTCGAGAGGATGGAATCTACAATTTCCGACTCCTAGGAACTACGTACAAGAAACGCTAAGGAATTTGGAAGATCTCCCCACCGGATTCTTCATGCCAGAATTCAGACCCAAATTCTCCAGAAAAGGCATTCCGGGAACTCATATCCAAGCCTACTACTCACAATACCAGTTCTACGCAATAGACCCCATCGCCTTAACGCAATGTTAAAATAGAACGCATTGGGAGAACCACTTTTATGGCATCGAGACTAAATGAAAAATCATCCCCACATTACCCCAAACGAGATATTCAAGCACTTCTTCTCACACAATCACGGGGCCAAACCTCACCCTCCGTGAATTAACTGCCATAAGACAAAAGATCGGTGAGTCCATTGATTTCATTGCAAGGTTTAAAGATGTCGGTTCTCGGATCATTGAGTGCCCACTCTCAAGTCCCGTGATGATTGGAGATTTTATCGAGAAAGCCGCTCACGAGTACAAGCATTTCTTCAGCACAGGGAGCATGCCCTTCTTGTTTGACTCCACATTAGAGAGTCAAACTCCATGAATGGGCAAAGGGACGGGCTGCCAGCATCAAACCAATGGAAGATGAAGAACTAGATGTGCCCCCATAGCAACATGACGACGATGAAGCCTTGTCTAGCAGCAAGGTCAATCAAGGTGAAATCAATGAGCTAAAAGCCTAACTCAAGTATTAACCTCTTTGAAATAGCTTTGGGATAAAGACAAGGCTCATTCGTGCACATGACGAACACAGGATAGCACCCCCACGAAATTCATACCCTTTGAAGAACGAGTGAGAGACGTTCTCAAGTGGTTGCTCAAGTACAAGCTCGTCGAATTGCCTATGGCCCAGATTCCTCCCCTTCCTAATGGAGATAAATCAAAATGGTGCAAGTGGCACCAGAACTATGCTCATGACACCGAAAAATGCCTTGCCCTAAGGCATAAAATTAAGGACATATTCGATGAAGGGCTCAAACGCATCGTAGAAAAGACTGAGTTTGTTAACAAAAAGGAAGGCATCTCTGCCAATCCGAACTTGGATAACCTCACTTGATCAGATAAAGAGGAAGAGACCACCTCAACAATAGCCTTGGTAGACCTACTTAAGACCAACGAACCAAGATCTCATCCCAGGCCGAAAGATCATCCGATATAAGCCTTGCGGCATGGAAAGAACTCGCCAGAGAGTTCATTAAGAGAAGGTCAAGCGAAGCGCGAACTCAATCAAGTCCATGCGACTAAGGATCCTCAAGAATGCAATGGTGAGCATTGCCTGATTCCCATAATCACAGCCCAAGAAGTTGCTAAGGAACAAGATATCCCATGAGGAGCTCCCATTATGGCTGAAGACAGAAACCTGCAACCAGACCATACCATCTTTATGATGGAGGACAACCCAGATGAAAAGCATCCATGTCCCTTCAGCTTCCTAAAAACATACTCAAGCGCTCTGTGCCCTCGAGAACAGATAGAGGAAGTTGAATTGTTGCTCTAAATCCTAAGACCGGACCACCTTCACCTGACTTACTTAGTGGGATATATACGATGACAAAGAATCACCCTCTCAGACCAGCTCAATGGAAGATAATATAAGGGCAGAGGAGCCAAACGAGCCCATTCTTGAAGACTCAACTCCTCCACCCCTACAAGAGTCTGAAATTGATCTCCTTGAAATTCTAAGGGATCCACCTTCACCGCCATCACCAGATTTTCTACAAAAGCCACCTAAATGGGACCAGGAACCAAGCTACCCTCTCGGGATGACGCAATAGATGACTCACTTAAGTGTGGCAGGGGCGTGTTTACTCAAGATGACCTGGTAATGGGACAGAAGTCCCCACCGATGAAGACAGTTTGATAGGGGCAGCCCCATCTAACGAATCAATAGAGGCACCCCAAGGTCAAGGATCCGCTTGATAGGACACAAGTCTATGTTGTTGAAGAAGATCCGATAGGGGCAGTCCCATCGACAAAAGTGATAGGTGCGACCCAACTGGGAATGACAACATGATAGAGCAGTAGATGATGTCGTGACCTCATCCTATGGACCCCAACACGCCACAAGGCGATCAAGCGTTAAAAACATCACCTTTCTTGTCCAAGAGTCTCTCCCAGACTCAAGCATCTAGGACGAGCCCCATCAAGGAATTAATTCCGGGAGACAAACAACCCAAGGTTCTTTCAGAAAACTTCATGTCTTTTCCAAAGAATAGAGGCCACAGCATATATTATTTCGCAGGACTGTAATACGTGAACAAAAAACTATTTCCTGGACTACTCCAGAATCGAAATCTATGCACACACATAAACAAAGCCCTTCAAGTGGTATGAAAAGTGTAACTAAGTACAATCAATTGACAGCTGAAAAGCATAGATCTGACCTATCCAAAAACATGCACTGAAATCTGAAGGTGTATCTCGCAAGCATTGTGATATAACCTTATAACAACGAAATCACTATCATAGATGGACACAGACATTTTTAATTCAGCAAATATATCTCCATTTATGATCAAACTATCCTAAGCTTTCAAACTGAAGTGCTAAAAATTAATTCTCAACCTGTCTAACATCAAGTAAGTTTTTGAAACTTTGATTTTCAATAGAACTCCAGAGCACAACTTATATGATCCATTGGAGGACAGAGTAGAGGAATTCCAACATGGGCTCAGATTTAGATCAATGGGCAGTAGGATCCCCACCGGATCAATCTGTAGAACCGCTGATCAGTGGCTCTACACAGAGGTCAGTGGGTATTCCCCTAGCCACAGATCAAAGGGTGGACAGGGGGGCTCACCACCATAAGATGGTGGTGAGACCTTCACCTGATCAGACCCCATACCACCATTAGATAATATAACCCTCGAGGACTTGCTTTCAAGATATATTCCAATCTTTACTTCACCTTAAGAGATTTCCAAAGCATAGACTTGCATAATTCTAAATAAAACAAATGTCAGTGATTCTTTGTTTTCTTTCTAGTGAGTATTCAATAGATTCTAGTTAACTGCAACATAAGGATAGGGAAAGGTGGAGGTGCTCTTCTATTACCATGGATATCTGAGAAAAGTCAGGTACAGCGATAAAATTAAAGAACTAATTCTCATAGTTGATACAATTATTATAGTTGTGGGGCTGATTGATCAGATTTGTCGAATGAGTTTTACACTGTTCAAAAAGATTGGTGTTTCCAAGTCAGACACATGTTGATATAACAGGGATAGTTTCTATCCAATTTACATGTCATTAATAGCACTAGTCATGTAAATTAAATCACATAACAGTTCACTTTAGTGCAACTTAGCAGACCCTTTAGGCTGGGTGAATTGTTGGAATGCTTACCATGAATTTTACTATTTACCTTAGCCAACACCAACATACCCATAAAAAGAAAGGCAAGTAGAGTGAACTAAAATGTAGATAGTAGTTACCACAAAACTCATCTCAGTTTATGCAGAAAATTTTCATCGATATCTCATTTTCCACAAGACTCATTCAGAGTACAATGCAATCACAACAGAAAAATCACAATAAGAGCATACATCCTAAGGAGCACATTTACGAAATAATCAGAAAATACGACCCAAATTAGAAACATTCACCACTCAATATTATAAATTTCCTATCAATCAACAGAAAATATCCAAACTAAAAAGAATTCAAAACCCCAAAGGCGAAACCCGCTAATCTTCCATTGTTAACTTTGGATTGAGAGTAAGGGAGTACAAAAATGGCAACCCAAAAGGGTGCGCTATACAAAATAACAAACTAGCCCACTAGACTTCTATTAAATTTTCATCACAACTAGCAAAAAGAGTGAGAAGGGATTACCGGAAAAGACCATGCATTTGGTTTGCTCTTCTAGTATCCAGCGCTTTGGAGACCTTCAGTGTTGTAGGGTCAAGTCTTTCAACTTTGACTTCACGTGGGTAAGTTCTTGATAGCTCACCCAAAGGACCCTTCACCTTCAAATCCTGGCCATCCAATGTTATAGTCACACTGGATGGAACTTCAATGGGGTGCTTTCCTACCCTTGATTCTTTGCACTCCACATTCTTCCTAAAGAATCCAATTCCTATAACAGGGGAACTTGTGTGTACCCTTCCATTTTTCTCACCCCAAAACTTAGATTTCAAAGGGCTGTGACATCATATAAGAAGACCCAAGTAATTACTTTTCAAGGATATATTCTAAGGACAGAAACAACATGAGAACGGATTCAGTTAATAAAAATGGAGAATTCAGATAAAAATAGCTCATAACTATTCTAAAAAAGTGCATAGAACAGGCAAAGATCGTAATCAATAGAGAATTACCATGGAAGACCCTAACCCAAAGTTTCACAATGGTGTAAAGTCTGGCAATGAAATGTATTATACACCACAAAAGCACATAGAAACAATCAAATGAAAATAATTTACCAATTCAAAATCTCAGATTTATTACAAAAACATGAAACAAAAGTTCAGTTTCCAATGTATGAACAAAATACTTTCCTATCAAACACATACAGAAAGTATTGGTGCGACGCAGGCGCACACACATAGAGACTAATTTCCAAGGAATAAATAATAAAGATTAGAAATTGTAAAAGTTAACATACTCAATAGCATGTAACAATGAATTCAATCTTCATAACCACATAGATATGGGAACTTAAATTAAGCAAAATTACGCAAGTCATCATTAAGCCAGAATTTCAGGTTGCTCCTCTTACGAAAGAAACAGAATAACTCAAATATCAAATAGAGGAATTTGCCAAACATCCATGGAGGAAAAGCTACTTCACAAAATGGAATTGCCTCATTCACTAATAGGAGAGAAATAGGTACCAAAAGATAAAATAAAGACTAACATTGTATTTGTCAGGGATGAATAAGAGAGAGAAAGAGAGAGAGGGTGTCAAGAAGTTACATCGATTGGCAAAAGAAGGTTAAGGACGCCATGGATACTCATCAAGCATCAAAGATTTTGCTCGTTTGGTATCAATAGCGATGAAAACCTCTCTCTCTTTCCCTGTCTCAAACCTTTGGAGCGCGGCTTATCCATTTTAAGGCCCCTTGACATGTTGCCCCAGGAATTCTTGGCCAAATTACAGGAATAGTCATCTGGTGTTATGGTTGGCAGTAGGTCGACTCCGACCCGGACCCAACTCGACCCAACTAGATTTCGTATGGACCTGGGCCCAGGTCAGTCCAAGTGACTTGGATGTAAGTCGGTCCATAGTCGGGTCCAAGTCATTTGGAAATCAAAAAAATACACAACTCAATTTTTACATAGAATAGTATATATTTTTTATATATTTTATATTGGGATGGGTTAGGTCAGGCCGACACCAATCCAATCCGATAGGGTCGGAACCCGATTTGGGTCCAAGTCATTTGGACCCAGACCTGACCTATTTTGGAATCAGACCAACTCCACTCAATTGCCACCCCCAATCCGTGCTTTATTTTTCATTGATGGAAAGATTTAATGCAAGTGTCATCTAGAATGTGTCTCGTGTTAAAACATCAGTTAAAAAAGTAAAGAGACGATGTTTATATAAGGTGTCCACTTTACAATGCTCAAGTAACATGCACCTCAAAATTTCATTAAGAAAGGTTACAATATTTTAAAATTTACCATCTCAATTTTGAGATCTATGCATATTTTGAAAAAAAGGACATCAGATCTTAAAAGTAATACATGTTGTAATATTATATTATAGAGTTATGTTAGGGTATCCATACATATGAATATTTCTTTAATGTGCTCAATATTTCTAGACACTAGATATCCTTGCCTTACCATGTAGGAACATTTTTTTCTATAGATTTTTTAGTTAATTAATCAGGGATAAAATTAAAATTTGTAAATGAAAGAAGAATATTTATTAACTATAGTAGAATATGACATCGCCTACATTGAGTAGTGATTGTTTATTGACCACTAATAAAATGTCACTAGTTTTTTATACAAAAATTTATTATACCCCACCTCATGCCAAAAAAATATCATTACTCAAAAATCATGGTATGGAAGAAATAGGCGCCAAGGTCTTTGCACAAATGATTTGATTCTTTCATGTTGAGCTTAAATTTTCGTAGATATTAAGTTACACATTGTATCTATTTTCATGGTCATGGTGATGAAAGTTTTATTATCTTATTATTGTACGTCGAAGATATATTGTTGCAGGAATAAATAAAAAGAATTGTGATACTTAAGCTCAATTGGAGAGGGAATTTGAGATAAAAGATTTGGGAGTTGTTAATCGACTTCTTGAGATGAGTGTACTTAGATAGAGAAACAACATGAAAATTTGGTTGTAAAAAGGGTTTTATGGCGCTTCAATATGAGAATGCCAAACCAATTAATACCCTAGTTCCGGTGCATATGAAATTGTCTTCGAAACAATGTCTTAGCATGGAAGTAGATAATGCATAGATGTCTACAGTATCGTATTCATCAACAATAGGAAGGCTTATATTTATTATGGTTACCACTAGACCTTGACATGACACAAGTAATGGGAATTTTGAGCTTATACATGGTAAATTGTAGTCCTGATTACTAGACGACTTCGTAAATGGATCTTTCATCATTGGAAGGAAACTTGTAATGCTGATATTTGTTACATAGAGATGGATTTGAATTTTGCCTAAGCTATTGATGCATATTTTATGGGTAATTTGGATAAAAAAAAGTTTACTACTAGGTATTTCTTTTTTGGGAAGGTGGTACAATAGGTTATCAAAGTTGCAGTCGGTGGTGGCCTTGTCTTCTATAAGGGTTTGAGTATATGTCACTTATGCATCCAAAGAAGCAATTTAACTAAACAGCTTACTTGGTGAGTTTGAGTTGTGTAACGAACATTGCTTCATGTTTTAAACAAAGTGCTTCATTTTTAACAAGAAACCCAACCTTCTATGATAGAATTGCTTATTATAACTTTGTTCAAGAGATGGTAAACAAGGGCAGAATTTTATTATAAAAAATTCATGCTGATGACAATCTTACCGTTACGTTAACTAACCATATTGGAAAGAAGAAGTTCACTTGGTGCAAAAGTTATTAAAGGCTTTGGTTACTTGATAATTAATACCTAGTAGGCAGCAATTTCTAGGAGCAGATTAGTCAAAATAGAAACAGGTGTTTAAATGATTGAATGTTAAGAAGTTATGTGATTATTGAACTTCATAAAGGGTTTACCATATTAAGGAGTATGAAAACCTTTTAGGTACGAAAAAGTCACATGATTAGGAAAAGGGATAGGTCGTGGTGGTAGAACCCGTGTTTTAGTTTCCAATCCTGCTGACACCACCCATAGACACCTTCAATAAAAGTTAACTCCTTGATCTATATGAAAAATAGGTAGGAGCTTGTCTTCTCTATTGAATTACTAAAAAAGAAAAAAGGAAAAAAAGCCATATGATTTTAATATCGAGAGATAAACCTATCTTATATCATTATTATAGGAAAGTTTTTTTTGTGTTCCTACTCGAATTCTTATTTTTTTGGGTAAGTTACTAGAATTCTTATTATATGGGGAAGTATGACATATAGATTTCGGAAACATAAGGGAATTGAGAGATGGGTCACAGAAACATAAGGAACTAAGAGATGGGTCACGTGGGTATTGAGTTTCTTCATAAAAAGCTCTGGATGACTGTGAAAGTGTATGGAAAAATAGCGTGAAGGGTTCCTTCTTGTTGTTCTTGGGTAAGTATTTTAGAGAGAGAAAAAAAATTTGTTTTAGACTTGTAAGAGAGAACTTGTAAACTTTTGTATTATCTATACTTAAATTGTGTTTTTCTAATTAGTAAAAGAGAATTTTACTGCCCTATAAATGGAGGCAATTGTCGAACTATGTAAATCTTGTTGTTTTATTCTTTTAATTTTATGAGCTAGTTTTTTTTCTCTTTTTTGGCCCAGACCTTGATTTTTATCCTCTACACTCCCTCTCCCATTTTAGATGCATTAGGGGTATTTGTTCCACACAAATTTTGGTATACAAATTCTTTTTTGAGTAAATAAATAAAAATCATGAACAAAATTAGAAAATAACTTTGGAAAATGGATATCTTGAACATATAAGCTGGCCATTCATTTCATAGATGGCTAGATATTGCCCTTTAGTCAAATTGTTGCCATTGTTATTTAAAAATCAAATTAAAATTATTTATTAATAATAATAATAATAAT